ATCATCATCTTCAGTACCAACCTTGTTTGTCCAGTGGAAGTGTCTCTTGGAGGAAGAGTCTTGCAAGGTCCTTGCCATGCTCACTGTCTTCATATGAGAAAAGCAATCAATGGCAGAGGCAGTCCTTAAAGATGGTTTGGTGGGTAGAGAGAGAGAGAGAGAGAGAGAGAGAGAGAGAGAAAGAAAGGATTCTGGTCTCTTGTCTTTTAAGTTTTATTGATGTGTGGGGCTGCATTGGAAGTAACATTGGACAAACAGGAAGAAAAGGAGAAATAGCTACTTAGAGCTGTCTGGAAAATGGAAAGATAGTGGCATTCTGGCTAAAGTGCTTCCTACCAACATTTTCTCTACCCAAGCTGGTAGTTCAACGTGGAGGAAAGATTATTACTTTGTAGGCGGTGCTGCTGTTACTTGTATGCAATGTGATCAACCAACCCTCACAATGGAGTCTGAGCTGTTAATTACGTTATTCTTTCCTCATACGGTTTCATTTGTGGAGTCAGCAGAAGATATTCCAGAAGTTCTCTTCAGAATTATGCATATTATTTATTCCATTTAAAGATCACACTAAAGTTAATAAATTTGTGCTTGTATATTTTAAGAACTGAGAAATAAGTACTATAAATTTTCCCTTCCTAGCATTTTTTTATATATAAAAAAGGTTTATTAATTATTGCTAAAAACAGAAGGCATATACATCATTCTTGATGAATTACAGAGAAAGATTCAACAAAATGCAAAACCACCAGCCATTTCTACGCTAATGACAACGAACGAATATACAGTAATAAATCCAGTGCCACTGAAAGAAAGAGAAGCTGATGAACAAAATTCAACATCATGAAGGCAACAATGGAAAGAGTTTGCAGATGATGTTTGATGCAGTGCAATTATTTGCATGGATCAAAGTAGGCCTGCATATAGTCAGTGCACTCCCCTTTTCTTTTCCATTTCCCTCTGAAAGTCTTAAGATTATCAACACTAAAACTATGATGATGATGATGATGATGATGATCCAGCCCCATTATGTATGGAAATACCAAATAAGGCCACTTGATTCAAAAAAGCCAATCCACTACTTCTAGTGGGGGCCTGCAGTCTGCTTATATTAATTAATCCCATAATTAACTTCTAATTGCAAGTATTATCAGATAATGCGTCCACTTGTCCAATTAAGGAAAAAGATATATGGGTGCGCAAAGAAAAGTTGTTTCTACATTTCAGGCCCTGGCCTTAAGTGTATGAGCAGCTCTTCCACTTCCAGCACGGGGCTCAGAGCCTTTAACTGGTCCCCCTTTCCCATAACAGCAGCTTCTAGCTCCTAACTAAGGCCAAATTAACAAAGTGTTGCATCAAAACATATCCATATATGCATTTTTGTACAGTGTAAAGATTCAACTTCATTCCTCCTCCTATGTGTGTATAATATATGCCTGAGTTTCCTTTTTTGGGTTTTTTTTTATTATAATTACTACACCTGAGTGCTGAAGAAGGGCTAAGGTTGTTGTATTTATTGGAATAATAATTGTATAAAGCAGTGGCCTAGCTAGCTAACTTTATGTACAGCCAGCCACCAACTTTTGAATCCTTTGAAAGAATGATGAGTGGATGATCAAAATGAACCTTGGTTTCTGTGATAAGATAATCCTTTGAGGCCTGTAGGGAATGGTTTTTGTCCCAGCTGTAACACACAGCATTTTTAAAAGAGGTGTCTGGCTCTCTCTCCTCCCCATTCTTTTCATTGCAGTTGCAGAGAGAAGAAACAAAAGGCATACTTGAAAGCCTTGAAACTAGGGGAGAGAGAGAGAGAGAGAGAGAGAGAGTTCACTTCAATATTGCATAACTCATTTAAATTCACAACTGAACTGATAGGTTATTATACTTTAAGTGGCCTAAGCCTAACCATAAAAAAGGGGAAGCCATATGAACACATTACCGAAGAGAATGTAACAGGGGCATTTAAATTCAGCAGGGAATCAAATGCCAAGGTAGAAAAGCAGTCAACAAGTTTACATTCAGAACCAAAAATTAAAGAGATTAAAGAAGAAAAGAAAAAAGCAGTCAATCATAAGAAAAGCCAAATTCTGCTGTCAGGAATTGGATTTGGGTTTTCCTTTTAATATTTTGCTTTTGATGACTTCTATGACTACTTCAGTAAATTTATCTTGGGATCATTCTCACACAAAATTATATATCAAAAGCAATGATTGGAAATTGAAATAGCCTATACTTTTAGACCAAATGCCCAAATCTTATGGGAAGAATGTGTATGAATGAACGTTAATGCAAAAAAAAAAGGATCCAAGCTTAAACAGGGAAAGGGAATTATTAGTAAAGCAAAAACAGACACCAAAACCTATCATTGAAGTTATCCCACATATCAGAAAGAGAAAAGAAATTGCCCCCACACAGACAAAAGAAAAAAAAAAAATTGCTTCTTTGCGTCATAAATCTTTTCCCTTTTGGCTATATGCATTTGCAGCCATCTTGTGATCTAAGAACAAGGTTTCATTCAGCTACATGGACAGAGAGGGGGAAAAAATCCAGTTTGTGTTTTTGCATATTGATCTCATATGAGTTTCCATAATTACCATAAACATTTTTGGTTATGCAGGAATTAGCTTGTGCTTTTACCAAAAGCACTTTTGGTTATGCAGAGGATGGGCTTCCAAATAGCAAAGAAATCATTGTACTCATCTACTGTACCAAGAAAACAGAATCATAAGAGACAAGGGTCCATTCCCTTTCTCTGTTCAGCTTACCTGCTGGCTTAACTATATTGGCTGAGAATTCAATTTAGACTTTCTTCCTTAGTGAAAGAAAACTCTTTCTCAGCATTAACTTGAGATAAGCCATTATTTGAAAAGCAGAGGAAATTAACCCCAAAAAATGCAAAGAGGACACAATCATGATTGCATTAGCATCCTTGTCTCATCATCACTTAATTAAGGATTGGAAAAAGCTATACATATACACCTTCATGACCCCCCCACCTACCATCATGTGTATTGCCCCCCCACCTAAACTAACAAAATATGAAAATACATTAAGCCCACTAAACCATTTTCTCCAAATATACCAAAACAGAAAATAAAAATAAATAGAAAAAAGAACAAAGAAAACTACTTGGAGAGAACTAGGCCTCCAATTCCTAAATTGAAGAGCAAAACAAGTATCCCCATCAGCTTACTCTTCAAAAATGGAAGCACATAGTGGAATTAGACTCGAAGCAAATAGATACTGAGTTCAGGAGCTCCATTGCTATCAGGGTTCATCATGTAGAAGGCCTCAGAGTCTCTGGATCCAACAACTCTCTCAAACTTGGCCCTCATGTACATGAGTTCACCATCGGACGCATCTTCAGCTTCATTCCCTGCAGCAGCTGGCAAAACACCAGCCCCCATTGAAATTGGCTCCACAGCTTTCAGCACCTTCCACTCCTTGGGCCCACATTCTCTTCTGCTTGCAAAACCATACTTCTTGCCGTTGCAAAATGTTCTCCACACAGGCTCTTCTAGCAGCCTCAGAGCTTTGTCTTTCTTTTTCATTTCTTCTTTGTCTTTGTCACACTCCAAGGCAATTCTAACGAGCCCAGATGCCATTTCTCGAACCAACCCACTGATTGGAGTGGCAAGCTCGATCAAAAAGGCTGGTTGTGAATTTGGGTCCCTCTGGAATGCAAAATGTACATGACCACGCCTAGAGCCGAAAAGGGTGCCTACCACTCGGGGTCCAAGCCCGAGTGGTAGGCTCGAACGGTTCTTACCAAAGGCTGTGAGAACCGAACGGAGCCTGGACACTGCGGCTGCCTGAAGTTTCCTCCTTGGAAGTTGATGAGCTGCTGCTGCTGCAGCCACATGGCCATGTTGTGGTTTGGGATGATGATCATGCTCTGTGTTCTTCTCTTCCTCATGATCAGTTGTTTTTGAGGAGGATGAGGACTTGAAGCTTGGAAGCGCTACATGATCATCATCTTCAGTACCAACCTTGTTTGTCCAGTGGAAGTGTCTCTTGGAGGAAGAGTCTTGCAAGGTCCTTGCCATGCTCACTGTCTTCATATGAGAAAAGCAATCAATGGCAGAGGCAGTCCTTAAAGATGGTTTGGTGGGTAGAGAGAGAGAGAGAGAGAGAGAGAGAGAGAGAAAGAAAGGATTCTGGTCTCTTGTCTTTTAAGTTTTATTGATATGTGGGGCTTTCATTAATTCTTTGTTTCTAGCCCTTTTGTTGTAGCCCAAGAGAATCCTGACAAAAGAAACATAGGCTGACCCACCAACTGAGAGAGAGAGAGAGAGAGAGAGAGAGAGATTTCATTTTGAAATAGAAAAGAAAGGAATCTGAGGAGACAATGTGTTTGTTATTTCACTTTCTAGTGGGGTACTACCCTGGGAGGAGGAGGTGGAGGAGGAGAGTTGCTTGACTGACTCTTTTGACTTAATGAAATCCCAAAACAAAAAAGGGTAAAGAAAGATCAAGAGATGGCAAACCAAAGCCCAACACAAACACAAACCCAAAGCAATCCACAAATCACAAGTCACACAACATGCCCTTCCATTTCCATAGCTATGTCGTCGTCTTTTACTGCACAAAAAGAGGTGTTGTTGGTATCGGAAACCCTGAATTCTCATGGGCTATGTTGGGTGCAGAGTCTACAACTTCACCACCTACCTGCAAACTGACACCTCAATGTTTGTGGGGACCCAACCGAACCATGCCTTCTTTATTCTATGTCAAATCCTATAACACCACTGAAGCATCACTTTCCTTCCTGGTGAGACCGGTGAACTCCTCTTTCTCAAGGTAAGGTGGCCTTACGACATCAGTTGGTGTTTTTATGAGTTTCTATGAGGAATGATTTTCGGAAGACAGCTACTTTTGTAAGCAATCGCATGCCGTCAACAAGCATTTTCCATGTTTTTGTGAAAGCCAAAAAAAAACACAAATACAACAATAGTCACCGTGCAAATGCAATCACGATTGAGAAACAGAACAGAGAACACAACTAGTTTTCCAAACTGCAACTAAATAAACCCAAATAATTACATACAATTGGGCACCAGGGTTTTGGTTGGACAAACTCTTACTAATTACATTAACTTATAGACAAGGATCCATAACGAGCATACAACTTAAAGTGCATATTGGCATAGGCCAGCACACTAGTCAATGGTTTTCTTTGTACATAATAAGCCATATTAGAAGCACAAATGGATGATGAGTCAAGTACGCTTGCCTACGATAATTCAAGAAAAATAAAGATCCTACAGTTAGCTCTCTAAACTTTGTTCAGGGTCTGGTTGCTTGGGCGCAGTGGCTCCACCATTCATTCTAGCACGAGCCTCTGCAAACATCCTCTGCTGCTCAGCCAAGGCTTCTTCCTCTGTCATCTCGGCTCCGTTGCCCCATTTCACACTTTTTGCCAAGTCATGCTGGAAGGAATTTCACTTTCATCAGTACAAGTTTATGCGGCAAGTTCAACATTACTTGACAATTTAAAATAAAAATATGTGAACTAGTTGACTTGTGTATGTGCATCCATATGCGTGTATAAGAGAAAGAGGTAACTGGCGGTTAAACCAACTGCACAAAGGGTCAATTCCCTAACTATCAAGGTTCAACTGAATTGGTACCATCCTGTTTTAAGTTTTAACATAACTTATATGAGGAACATAGAAAGCATAACATGGTGAACAATTACCAGAGTCTCAAGCTTGTGTTGTTCATATGCTGAATAAACTTCCTCAATGTACTCACTAAACCCAAGAACCTGATAACACAGAATAGAATGAATGTCATAATGCAGCCATTATTGAACATGTACATAGTATACAGACATTTTTGGTCATCGACAGTAATGACAATATTGACCAATTATACGCACAAATAACCGATTACACTTTCAGGCTTATTGCACAAATATGCACTTCTTTCAAGGACCCACATAGACCAATGTGGCAATAACTATTGTGATAGAAAACATGAACTTCACTTAGATAAAGCCTACAAGTAAAGCGATAGAAATGTATGCATAGACCGATAGACATACCGATAAACCACAATATGAAAGTGCAGATGCACCATGGACAAAAACAATTTAAGACAACAAATGAGACCACAGAAAAAACAAGAACCAAATTAGAAACTGAACAATATGCTCAAATGTGTTGGTCAAAAACCTGTAAAGCCTTCAGTACATGCTCAGGTGCTATTGTTCTTTTCTCCTCTCTGCTACAAACTTCATTAGACTCTGATGAGATGAGATTTATAAACTCTGCAAAGGCATGACATAAGCGATGAAGGTTTCCTTCAGCAATGAAAATAAATAAAACATCCTTAAAAGCACTAGCATACGTAGTAGACAACAGTACAAAACAAAAAGTTATGGGGCAAAGAAAGAAGTTAAGAGGAGTTTCAACAGCCATAACTGATAATAAAAATCCCTCAAAATCCGAAAAGTAACTGTATTTTAATTTTGATTGAAACTTATGTATTGAATCCGCAATGCATTTTGTTGTGTATTCCCTGAAACAACCATGTTTAACTTGCAGAACACGCTATTGACCAAAAGATATGCAGATATGGGTTTGAACTATACAGAAACCAAGATGCAAAAATAGATGCATTAACAATATCAAAACTCGTTTGGATTAACACAGATTAACAATCTACCTGTGTGCTTTAATGCATACAAATGTAACAGATAAACTAAAGCTAAACTACTTATATATACTCACCTACACAACACTCAATCAAAAGATCTTGAGCATCTCTTGCAACACGGACATCTGGCGGCAACATCTCTTTAATAATCTTGGTCATGGTTGCTGAAAATGAACATCAATAAATTTTTGAGCAATTTTGTTTTAAGAAGTTATCCTTCGACATACTTCCATGCCATAAGAATTTTTTTTAAGCAATACAACAAAGACAAAGCAAATATCGTAGTAAAACCAGCAAAAAAGCTACAGAGATGTATCAAAAAACAATTGGTAGTCAATAATAATATTGTGTACAAAACAGCATAAGATGCGCCTACAGGGAATGCAAGGACACAAAGAAACCATGAAAAGCCAGAATCAGGGATGATAAAAGTACAGATAATATGATGAAGTGAGAGAGGTGAAGGTTAAAAGGACATAACATATGATCAGAATGAGTAAATAAAAGATAACTTTTGCCAGTGCCAAGCCCTGGTGCAACTATTCTGCACAACTACATGCAAAGTAGAGAAAGAAAACATATAGGTAAAGGTTTTCATTCATCATAAAGAAACATAAATTAGCAACCCCCAATTAATAAATCAATTTATCACCACAAAATAAGTACAGCGGCAAACTCACTGAAAATCACCTAAGGATTCAATAACAGTGATAATCCCCCAAACCCTATGGCAACCGATGTTGCCAAAATCGATCTATGACAAAACTCAAAGACAACAGCTGAACTTCACAGGGGGAAACAACATCAAATCTAACAAATTTCATGGAATGGATAAACATAACAACAATAATAAACCCAAAAAAAACCCCTAAAATAAGAATCTACCTTTCGGAAGCGAAGCATCTTCCTTTGACTTCCCGATGATGTCCATCGGCTCCATCCTAAACCTGCGTAAACCATTAACCCAAAAATCAATATATACATATACGCGTATATACAAGAACTTATATATGAGAAAAACAAAAATTACAGATCTGAAGTTTCTCGCAAAATCGAAAGGACTCACCAGATAACTCAGTCGAATCGGAGAGCGAGCGTGAATCTGAAGGCGTAGGCCGACGAATCAACCGATTGACGATCCGAGTTGCAGGAAGATCACGAAGAGGGGCATGGTTGATATATGGATTTATCAGGGAAGGGCAGGCTTCATTGGTTCTTCAGGATAAGAAGCCAGATCTCGCTCACAGGCGATTAGGGCAAACAAGCCCCCTAAAGCGCGTTGAAAATTACGAAGTCCACCACGCGCTGATTTTAGGCGTTGTTGAGGGAGTTTTCGACATCCGTGTTTTCACGCATAAGTGGTTGGGGGTGTTTTGCACGTGGGGTAGGGGAGCGTTGAGGTATGGATGGTGCCCTTTGTTTTAATAAGGGGCGAGATGTGAGTTAGCGAGAGAGTTCTTCTTTCATCTTCGAAGCGTTCGATGAGAAGACTCAAAACAGCCAATCAATTGATAGAATACCCAAACAAAGCAATTTACAATTTGGTTAACGGTGACATGAAATTCTAAGAGCATCTCCGAGGGAGATGTCAAATTCCAAACATCAAATTTAAATTTGATGGCTGATGTGGCAATTTGACATTTACACAGTTTTACACTCCACCCGATATGTCAAATTAATTTATTATTTTATTACATTTCAGTGTTGATTTATAATTTTTATATTTTTAATTAAAGAGAAAAGAAAATACTAAAAGACAATCAATTAATTGAAAAAGAAAAAAAATACTACAAGATAATGAATTCATTGAAATATAATTCACAATCCATCACCTCGAAGAATTTTCATTCTAAGTTGAGTATAATATAGTCTTTCCTCATCACACATTCCAGATGTATCATATAGTCTTTCATTCTAAGGAGTTGTTTTGCATGTTTACTAGTTAAGAATCGGAGTATTTATGAATTAAGTAGAAATCGAGTTAATTAAATTATTTTTTAACTGTTAGAAATCGGAATGAAAACAACCGAATTCTCATTAAAACAGTTTACTATTGTTAGGAATTGAAATCAAAACCAGATTAATTACCAAAATGCCCTTGCAAAATAAATTCAAATTGTTCAACTACTTACACAATTTTTCAAAGGCTTAATTATGTACATGCCCCATGTGCTTTCCAACTTATCTCAGATTACCACCTGTGGTGGAAAACGTCTCAAAGTACCCCCCAACGTGCAAAAAACTGTCTCACGTTACCCTTTCCGTCAGTTTTTTTGAAGTTCCGTTACGAACGTTACTGTTCATCTCCCCCAAAATTCCAGAACAGCAGCTCCTCCCATTTGTTACTGTTCATCGCACCAGTTTTTGGGCTGCCATCGCCTCCTCCGGCCACCCCAAGCGACGACATGGATATCAAAAGAACCAGCACGTTGTCCTCTACCACCCTCACATCTCAGCCGCTGCCAACCGTCGTCTGGATCACCGAAAAAAGCAAGAAATTGGCCGGTTTTTACCCAAAATCTCCATTGCTCGTTCGGGCGATTCCGAGCACCATTTTCTTCGATCCAGGTATGATTTTTCAACCTCTCGAGTTGTTCTTGCTGCTAGTTGTGTTGGTTAGGAGAAATTTCTGAGTTTTGGAGGGTAAATAAGCGATGAACAGTAACAAAGGGGAGGGGCTACTGTTCTGGAATTTTGGGGGAGATGAACAGTAACATTCGTAACGGAACTTCAAAAAAACTGACGGAAAGGGTAACGTGAGACATTTTTTTGCACGTTGGGGGGTACTTTGAGACGTTTTCCACCACAGGTGGTAATCTGAGATAAGTTGGAAAGCACATGGGGCATGTACATAATTAAGCCTTTTTCAAATGATAAATTTTTTTGTTTCAGACCAAAAAAATTACATAGAACACATGACAAAATTTCTCTAATCTTTTTTTTTTTTCAGTTCTCTAATCTAGTAATAAACCTTTAAAAAAAAAAAAACAACTCTTTATATAGTAATAATAAATCCAATTTAATATATGTAAAAATAACCATATTTTAAAAGTTTAATTATTACTTCCTAGTATATCTATATAGAATTAAGTTAATATATTTGTGTTCAAGGAAAATGGCATCAATGTCATTTTCCCATCCAAAATGTCATTGTCCCTATATCAGGAATCATTTTTCATTTCCAACATGCGAGTAAACAAAGGAATGGTTAGGAATAGAATTCCTTTTCCATGTAAGTAAGCATGCATGTTGAATCCACAATATATGAATTTATTTTTTAATTTTTTAATTTATCCAACAACATTGGCCATCTAGCCTTTTTAGCATTTTATGAGAATGATTGACAATTTTTTCTTGGTGGCGGCAAGATGTAAACCAAATGGCAATAGAAAAGCAATTAATTTAAAACCCAAATATATATACTGGTTGTTGATAGCTCATACTATTACTGTGAGTCGAGCCCCTCGAAAGACACCTCGTGTACCATGCTGAGCATATATGACCAACAAAGAACTCCTTAGGGAGAATGTGATATATTAGAATGAGACAGGTGATCGGGTGTCTAAAGACCGACCCGACCATAACGGCACCATGGCTTGACTAGAGATGCATTAAATGAAACAGCCTGGCAGACAGAAAAAGTCGGTTAATGCGCGTCCCATCCTTAAGCAGGTGTCTTTTTACCATTCGATCTCTGAGAAAACAAGTTGGTGATAGATAAGGAACATTTAATACATCTCATATCCTAGTTCATCTGTCACTTCGCCACCAGACCATTGTCACAAAGCATGGTGGTAAAAAACAAAGCATTAACTTAGGGGAATAAAGAAAAGATCTATCCCATAAAATATCTGGGTTTCTCCTTCTCCCATTTATCCCTCACCTATCTCTGGACAAAAATAATAACTCTTCATATGATAAAAACCCTACATCCATTCTCTCTCAAACAAAAGATAGTTTATAACTTAACCATCAGAGTAGGTAAGGCTGGGATCAACCTCAGTCCGCCCTAATTCTGATATCGTTCAAAGTGTGCAGATCTTCCCGCAAGTCATTTATACTAGAAGGCCCAGCACGGGCCCAAGCCCCAGATAGGGCCCAAGTTATCTATACGAGAAAGATACATGGTTGACACTGGTAGTCCATCATATGTCATATATATATATATATATAGAAATAAGATTTGCAAATTATAGGAGTTATATTTTGATTGATCAATTTAGTACTTGTTTATACTGTATCTGACTAAGCTCTTTCATTAAGGACAACACGAGGGAAATGGGCCTTAATCGAAGGGATCCCTAGACTAGCCCTCAACAAGCCTACTTGCTGATATGGTTGAAAAACGGCACTTGTCGTGCTACTTAAAGTTCAAGGACATGTGGTGGCCCCTTAGGCGATTCTTTAAGACGTATACGAAAAATGCAAATATTATTGAAAAATATGTACGCACGTGTATAATACGAGTATTAAATTGAAAAATGCTAAATTCTTTATACGGATAATAACTCTAGAAAAGTAAAAAATCAAAAGGGGACAATAGCTATACCTTGGTAATAGCCTAAACGTAATGCATAATGCTTTAGACTAGACTTATCGACAAAGGGAAATCAAGGAGAAAAAATTTAAAAAACAAAAAGGCACCCATTAGATATTTAAAGAGTATAGGGGCGCTGCTATACTATTCATTTTATTTAAAAGGACCTGCATAGCACCTAGGCGGCCCAAATTTATTTATTTATTTTTTAAATAGTAATATTTTAAAAGTACAGCCGCACGGCTATACTCTATAAATAACATAATATGAATTTCCCTTTTTTAATTACTTTAATTATTACTTATGTTTTAATTATTGTTTACTTAGAGAATAATTAGTATTTGATTCAAAAAAATTTAAAACTAAAGACTATTTATTAAGTAATATCATTTATGATGTTAATTAAAAATATTTAATACTAATTATTCACTAGAGAAATAATAGTTAGAACATAATTACTAAGAGCATCCACAATGATGCTCTCTATTTCTTAGCTAAAATTTGGCTAAGAATATAAGAAAGCTATTTTAGGAGCTCTCTACAAAATTTCAACTCCAACCATACTCCCTAATTTGGAGAGTCATAAATACTATAACTCTTTTTTGATTGGTCAATCTCTATTAAAAAATAAAATAAAAAATAGTTAGCATTAAATAAAGGTTTGAAATATTCATTAAATAAAGCAGCATTAAATTATAGGGAGCCATTAGGAGTCCTTTCTCTGTCCTCAGATTTAGGAGCTCCTAGAGGACTCCCTATTTTAGGAGGTGGATAGGGAGCGTGGTTGGAGGTGCATTTTTACGATTCCTCCCTAAAATTTGTCTAAGGAGGTGGTTTAGGGAGCCCATTGTGGATGCTCTAATGAAAGTAATTAAATCAGGTTAAGATATTATTTAATTACTGAAAAGAAATTTTTTTAAAAATTATTTGCCTAAAGATACTAAGTTTATATTTATTTTTAAAAAAAACCTCTCCCGAAGAAATTTCGTCGGCACAGGTCTATGCTGGCAAATTTTTGCGGGATAAAGTTTCTCCCGACGAAATTTCGTCAGTAGAAAAACTGTGTACAGCCGCTTGGCTATGTATACATATTAAAAAAAGTACCCGCTTAGCACTAGGCGTCACGTGTGAAACAAGTAAAGCCTCCCGGCTATACTATTTTAAAAAAAAATTGGAAAAACGAGTATAACCGCTCGGCTGTACATTCGTTTATAGTTAGATGGGTTGGGTGAAATCCTGGCTAAAAATCCCAAATATTGGGGGAAATTAAGCGGGTCGAGTTTAAATGGGTTGGCCGCCGAGCCCATTATTTGGGTCCAAAGATAACATACTACTACGTTCTCTCCCTCTTCGTCTACTTCGCTCTCTCCCTCTTTATCTCAGCTGGAAGGAGGGCTTTTCGTTGCTCGCCTTGCCTCGCCCTGTAACGATACTCTGGAAGAAAAACCCCAATCCCTATTCGCAATATCATAAATCTGTTTGTTTTTCCATAATCCAATTCATTAGGCTCTTTGTCTTAATAAATTTGATTACACGGCATTGTCCTTGATGATCAAGATATTAAGAAATTAATTAAGAATGGATAGGGACGAAGATGATTTCGTGTTCTACGGAACACCGATAGAGCGTGAGGAAGAGATCATCAGCCGTAAGAAGAAGGCCGTTGCCGAGGCCTCTGGTAACCTACGTACTCTCGTTCCTTGGAAGCAAGAGGTATTTGCTCTGCTCGCCTGCTATATTCTATTTTGCTCCTATATATTTTCTATATTTTGTTTGGTTCCTGAGAAAACTCGAGACAGTGAAAAGAGTCGAGAAAAATGTATGTTAAGTTTTGGAGACTTGAGTTGTAATATCACTTATGTTAGCTTAGAAGGATTGGTAGGAAGTGGGATCAGAAGGAGTTTGACTTTCGTACTTAGCTTGTTTGGTAAATGAGGAGGTTTGAAAAGGAATTTGAGACTTACTTTAGATAACAAGCCGCAGATTGAAATGACCTGTTTTCCCTTTTGAATTT